AGATAGTGAAGAGTTCTTAACTACAAAGATATTTTTTTCTTATCAACATATCGCTTGCAATATTATTTCTGACCACATTGCATAAGATTATGATCATTTTTTGAAGATATCATTAGAAAAATTGAAACATCCAAAAACTGGCAATGAGAAGTTGAGAAATCGAACAGAAAAAAGAAAATTTTTGAATTTGATAAAACAGAAGAGTAAAACTAAATATTAGGAAATAGCTTCATAGAAACCTCAAGGAGCTTCTTCAATTTGGCAACAATTTTTTAATATGCAAATAAAAAAACATTCGAGTATTATTTCCTTTAAATAAAAAAAAAAAAATCCTTTTGAATTTCAAAAGAAAAAAATTTAAAAAGCAAAATAAAAATCTGCAAAATATTTTTCGATTATTAAAATATTTTAGGATGAAAAAAGAGTAAATTTAGGTCAAACCAATGGTTTGTAATGTAGCACTTTTACCTTCAAGAAGTGAAAATACTTTAAAAACAATGTACATATGTATGTGTTACATCATTAAAATTATTTTCAATCATACGAGTATATATAATGAACATAACTATTTCAAGGTTGCCTTTATATGGGATTGGGCATTAAAAAATTAAAAGAGGGGCGAACATAATGCTCGAATTTAAGGATTAATTGCGTAAGTTAAGAAAAATAATTACATATTTTATGATAGTATTGTGTTTACAGAAATTTGGAAAAGCTTCCAAGGTGTTAAAAATTTAAATTTTACGAATTTCAAAAGGCGATAATTTGAGAGGGGGGATGAAGGACGAAAAAAATTTTCTTTTAGCGAAGTCAACTATTTATTAGTGTTTAATAGCTGGGTTGTATAACCTGCGGTCTGAAAGAAAAATGATTCCAAAAATTGAAAAAAAAAAAACGGATTTTAAATAACGGCAAATTTTAACGGTCATTTTGTTCCTTTCAAATCAACTGTGCTATGCCACGCTACAAGAAGTTCGGTACCATTCATCCGCGTTTATGGAATTTGAAAAAGTGCTTGGTACTATACCATTCTGCGTTTACAGAGGTATGTTTAGGTATTAGAAGGAGGAAGTAAAGTAAATATTTCCTTCCACAGAAATAAGTTTCGTGTAAAGATCTATTTACATATGAAATTTAAGATTTCTATCTTCAAGATGTAGAAACTGTGTAAACCTGTCCACGGACGGACGGAATGAAACTAATAAGCACTTTCTTTCAATATTTTTTGGAAAAGTGCCAAAAACGAAAGAAGTAATTTCCTGTGATATTTTTCATGATGCTGTTTTAAGACGAAAGCAGATGTAACTTACTTCTTTGATACTTCATTATACTTGGAGAAACTTTATCAAAAACTTATCTAAAGGAGTAACAAATGAAATGAAGAATGACATAAAAAACGTGTTAAACCATTCTTCAAAACAGTTAAGTAATAATAATTATTTCTAATATTGCCATCCCTTAGTACATCATTTGCCTTCTTCATTTCTCAACAATTATTAGCAATTGAAAATTTTAGTTTTCTTTGTGATTATTATATTATAAGTCGAATTACATGTTTTACAATAAACTATATATTATATAGATCAAAACTGTTAAAATGGAGTTATGGTATTGCCATAAAAAATGCCCAAATGTTTAAAAATCATGATCGCAACCAATCTTTTTATAATATTATCTGATATTTTAGTATCAGCAAAATTTTACAGAAGATTCGTTAAATGCAATACAGAGATGCTATTTATCGTAAAGCTTCTCTCAACAGCTACAATACATTTTTAAATATTTTTATTTCGAATCCTTATTGTCACTTTTAATTGTTTTTCTCACAGTTTAAAGGAAAAAGAATAAAACAGAGAAGTCAGGCCTATGAAAATTTATATTTTGAAAATAATTTTACAGTACAAAAGTTTCTACAATAGCTTTTCTACAAAACATGTTTCTGTAATTTGAACTCGTAAAAAAAATTGTAAGTTGAAGACTGTTATTATTCTTTGAAAGATTTTATCCTTTTGGCAAAAAAATTTTTAAAGTCTTTTAAAAATATCTTTTTACGTTACTAAAATTTTATACTTGAATTTTTAATTTCGACCTTTTGAAAACCAAAACAACTCGTAAAAAAAACCAATAAATGAAAAAGATTTTGACTTTCATAATAATGCACGTATTTGCACGTGTACAAACCGGTACTCATATTTCACTTTCTGAGCGGAAATAAATTTGTATAGGGTTAGTGAACATAAGAAAAGAAAACATTCAAAATTTGTTTTATCTTCTATTTATTTTTCTCCTCTGAAATTAGTTGCCATTCAATCGAATAAATTTTCTTTAAAAAATCTTGTTCTGCTCTTATATTTTTCAACAGAACATCTTTGATTTATTTGAGAATGAATCTTTAAAATATTAAATAACTAAGAATCTGAAATATGAGTAAATATTTTATTAATTTTTTATTTTAAAAGATGAAGTAATGAAATGTTGTAATTGGTTCAATAGTTTCTATAATTTTAATTTTGCAACAATTGTGAAATTTAAATTATTAATATTGCACATTTTTTTTGTTTTAGAGTTACTTTGTATTTTTTATAAAAGAATTGAAGACCTGCTTTTAATACTCGTTTCTTGAAAAACTGATTTCGAATTTATTAATTTCTTTTAGCTTAAAGAAAAACTTATCACAAATAATTCTGTTGAATTAAATAAATATTATCTTAGTGTTTTAGAGCTATTGGAGTACCTGTTGAAGTTTTAAATAGATGAAATATATGTGTGTATATATACACTGGGTTTCGAGCCAGTGAGCCGTTCGTGGACCCGTTTACAAAACTTCTACACCTTTATATCCAAAATCACGAATGCATTATACTCGTATCCATTTATCCTATATCTATTTCACATGAATATACTTCCTACCCCTATATTTTTATTTTGAATATTCTTTAAAGATGTTTTAAAAATATATTGTTTGCAAATTAGTTATACTTTTGAGCCATTTATGAAAATAAATTATCTAGTTAGAACAAAAAAAAATTCTGAATGGACTACAATAATTTTGTACAAAATTTACAGCCAAATTCAAAATATTTTTCGAATAAAGAATTTGAGGAACATTTAAAAGAGGGCTGTTGCCAATAAAGATATTTGTATACTTTCGTTAGAATATGTATTCATGTGTCAAAATTGCTTTATCTACGAAATTGCTATACATTATATTTAATTTTATGTTATCAATTTTTATATAAAAATTGTCAAATATTTTATTTTTAAAGCAAAAATACGACTTTTAAAATGATTTATAATAACTTTAAATATGCGTTTTTTCAGCGAAGTTATGGCCTATTTTTGGTTGAATAGCTTCACTGAAAATGGCACGGCAATTTTTGGTTCCTTATAATTCCGAAACTGGAAGCTTTGTAAAATTTCTATAAATGACAAAGCTAACGGTAAATGCCATGCCATATAAAAATATAATTATTTTCCTTAACGCACGTAATTTACGCTTCAATTCGAGCATTATGTTAACGCCATTTTAAATCATTTTTTTTTTGTTTTAGTTCAAAGATTGCTTACATTGCTCATACTAAATTTATGCAATCTTTGAAATATTTCGATATATGAATAAATATAGTATTCAATATAGTCGTTTTTTTTAAAGCAGTATTTTCACTTGTTGAAGGGAAAAGCGTTATTTTGCAAACCCTTGCTTTGAGCCAAAATTATTTATTTTAATATTAATTAATATTTAGGAAGATACTAAAAATTCCAGATCATTTGGACCTCTTCGAACTATTAATATTAATAGTTAAAATTGGAAATCTTGTCTAGGTAAGCTGGTGTAACCCGAAGAAATATAAAACGTATAAAATTTACTAAAAAAATATATCCGTTATTCGCCTCACTTGAAGTGATGGGACATTATTGAAAAATATTTTTGTTTTTATTATAGAATTTTAAATTTCGAAATTTATTTTATTCAGAAAATGGTTTTATTCAGTTGTTACTAACAGGACTAACAGGACGCGACTAACAGGATGTGGAGGATAATTTTGTTGTATGATGTGTATTAATCACATTAAAATCATGATTTATGTTTAAATCGCTGTTATCCAGCCTTATACAAAAATATTGCAATTTTTAAATTATAGTGATAACATCCAAAAAATTATTTTTGCTAATACAAATTTTAGTATTCTCTATTCGCTAATTAAATTAAAATTTCTAAACTGAAAAAAAAAATTAGTAATTGATAAGATTTCAAAGTTTTTATTGGTCCCAAAATGGCACGTACGAGGATTTTCATTGACATACATATTTTTATGTATGAGTTTTTAAATCCTTTTTTAAAAATAAATTTTTTTTTTTTTTTCATAAAAATTCTAAAAACCATTCCTCAGTGCATTTTTTTTAAGGCAAAGTGGAAAAGTTGTATTTTATTTATGTGAAATAATAGAGAAGTATAACGTTAGAGAAATCCAAAAAACGAATTTAAACTGAGAGAAAAACTGACCAAGATTAGAATAAGGAAGAACTTACCTATAAATGCATGTGAAAGATTGGTTATAAGAAGAAAGAAAGATTATTAATGCAAGTGAAACGATATAAAAGCACAAGTGAATAAATATTACGATATTTTATAACAACTTGATAAAGAGCGTTTAAAAGTTACTTCAGGTAATTAATTAGGTTAAAAAATCTCGTATTTTTCATGTAAAAAAATGGTCAAACAAATAAGAACGTTTATAAAAAGACTGAATTATCGGTATAAAATACTGAAAACCCTACACCGTGATAACCTGAATTTAAAAATTTATTTTTAAATTATTTAGAATTAGTTTTTATTGTTGTATGGCAATTACTCGGACATGTCGAACCATTCCACCAAAACTCCATGGATATATTTGACATACAACATGAGTTATTGAGTTAATTGGCTAATAAGTTATCGTGCGTTCGAATGGACGGCCAGATTAAATTTTTATTTTATTACTTAAGTGTTTACTTACCGTACAATATATGAAAAATGCTCCAAGTGCAATTACTCTAAGCAAAGCTGGACTAGCTGCTCTTACAACCTGTAATTAGTAAAAAAGCAGAATTTGACTATTGATATAAAAAAAATTTTAATTTTTAAATTTATGCATTTACCACAATATACCAGAACCTATATGAGTGAAATGTACAAGAGTTAGATATTTTAGATAAATCGGAATTTTTGGCTGAATATTAATTCGGGTAAATTTAGGTGAATAGTATAAATCAAGGGCCGTCATTTTCCAATAGAAAAATGCGTCGTAATTGGGTTGATGGGGATATAAAATTTGAGGGGGATATTGTTATTGAAAATTATGAGCAATATCTTAGCAAAAGTCAAATTAAGATATTTGAAATGTTTCTTACTGGCGACATTATTGATATTCTTACCGCAGAAACAAATAACTAATTATGCCGTTTTCAAAGGTAAACAAAATCCTAATATGTATTTGGAGAAACGAAATTAAGTGTTTTATAGCAATATTGTATTTAACTGGCTACGTTACCTGCACGACATTTATAATGGTGTTAAGTTTCAGAGGTATATTTTTGAGTTTTATATGAAAGTTATAAAATTAAAAAATCTAATCACCATCAGGCATCTTAAACTTCAGTGAAAGGAATTAATTATTTCAACAATGAATTTAATTCAAAAATTGTTGTAAACTCATCGATTATTTATAATATAGATTCAGAATGCAATCTAAATATTACAAAGTTAAACTAAGCATAAATAATATTATTTTCTTTTTAGTAAAAAACTTTCTCTTTTATATAAAATTTTTATATTTTTTTAACCGAAAACTGCACAAATAATTCAAAGTTCTAGTATAATTTGGTATACATACACATACACTAATTTTTTTGTTTTGTTTTACAAAAATTTTAAAGCAACTAATGCATTAACGAATAAAATTTTTTTGTTATAAACTAAAAGTTCCCATAATTGTTTTCAGCACAATAGACTCATTAGTATTAATCTTCGTTATATATTAGGGATAAACTTAGTTTTGGACAGCTGAAAATGAAAAAGTAATTACAACGAAAAAATATTCATTTTTAGTGACTGCACTTATGCATTTAATAATGGAGGTATGGTAATCCTTACGAATATAACATTTCGAGTTTTCAAAAAACTTAATCTGCGATGCAAAATATACATCAAAACCTCAACTTGTATGAAAATTAGTGACTGAGCGGTACTTATTAAATTAGATAGATCGATTTAATTCCAAAAAAATGGTTTATTGCACTTTTACTAAATCTTTGACACGCAATGGAAATGATAAATAAAGTTATTGTGGAAATATTTTAATTTTAAAGATTTCTTAAGTAACAGCCACCAATTCCAAAACTTTCTTATGACTTTCCACAAAACACAATATTCATTTTTACGATTAAGTTTTTCGTCAATCTAATTGATTTGATTAATTTTTATACTAACAAATGGATTTGTTAGTATAAAAATTAAACATAATTTAGGAAATATTCAATGCTTCGATCATGTGCAATTCACATCAGCTATAACACTTTAAAGGGTTTTGATATAATAAATGAAAATAGTTTCTAGTTAAAAAATATATGTATAAAAAAGTACGAGTATAAAAAGTATATTGCAAAAATTTACAAATGAGTTCATGAAACCAAAAACTTTATCAAAACCAATCTTGTTATAGGTATACTATTTTTTGTATGTACGAGTATATTGTTGACGTACACACAAAATAAAGATCATATTAGCCACAACAAAAAGATACGATTTAAAATTTAAAATTAAAGATTTGTTGATCTAATTTAAAATTTAATCTTATTGGAGGACATGAAAGTTTTTATGAAATTGTATAAAACTTAATGATATAAAATATATTGAAGTAGTAAAAAATTTCTTATTCTCTTCTGATTTAAAAGAACTGGCATTTTTATATACGAAAACAAATTTGCAATTTTTAGATCTGCGAAATATATATGTGCTTACATATCATTTATTAGACACAAGACTAGTAATAGATCAGTTTTGTATATACATATATTATGCACAACATAAATGTTTTGCATTTTCGTCATATTTATGTTGGTCTGTTTTTCTTCATCTATATCTCATTTTCGAGTAACCCAATTTTGATATAAATTTATGCTTGAGTTTACTTGGATATACATATAATGTATGATGCCAGTTATTAGCTACTGTGCCTTTGTTTGATTATTGTTGTTTGAATATTTTAAGAAAATAATTTACAAGTTTTTTTGAAGTTTAAACATTGAATTATCTAACGATTTCACCCGTTAAATTTCACAAGCGGCCTTGATCCAAGTTTGATATTCCCATTTTTAAAAAGAATAATATTTATCCTTAAATAATATTAATATAAATAATAATAATCTATATTTTACTATACAAGACAAATCCGATGGCGCAATCATCGGATTTGAGAAAAAAGTGTTGATTAGTTTCACTGTATCCGTCCGTCTGTCAGTCCGTGTGTCTGTTTACAAAACTCTAAAACCGTTGAAGATAGAAAGTTGAAATTTTATACATATATTTATAGATCTTTACTAGAAACTTATTTCCGTAGAGCAAAATTTTTACCCATCTCTCTCCCTCTAAAAATTAAACCCACCCAAAACTCTAAAATGCCATTTTTTCCCGCAAAAAAAAACTATTTATTGCAGTGAAACCACAAGCATTTTTCAAATTTTTTACAGAAAAGCAGTGGGTGGCTTCTACCGCGGCATACCGAATTTGAAAATTAAAATGTTTTTTCCAAATTTTTGATGTCGTTAATATTCTATGCCTAAGGTTGTACGTTAAATGTCTGAAATTTTAACAGCTTTTAGACGTTAATGAATACTTCATTTCCTTGAAAAAAAATTTTTTTTTGTATCTCCACCCCCTTCAAGTTGTCGCCTCTTGAAATTTGTAAAATTTAAATTTTTGGCACCTTATATTTCTGAAACTGCAAGCTTCTCGAACTATCTATAAATGCGGAAAGCTAACGGTGAATGCCATACGATTAAAAAATATAATTTTTTTTCTTAACTCGTGCAATTAACCGTGATAACGTTCGATATGTTAAAGACTGTTTAATTTGTTTTTACTTTATTTCAAAAACTACGTGAATCCTTAGATAAATTTGAAAATAAAAGTTTACAATGTTATATTTGTGGCTCTTTTACTTATACATATACTTAGCTTCTCTAAACTGTAAGATTACATCTGTGATAAAATGACTTAAAATGAATTGCTCACAGGTGAGCACGTCTCTACAAAACCTTTTAGATTTCGCAATGGGTTACACGATGGGACTCAACGTAAGTATTTTTTATATTTTTACAGCAATGAAGCTCAACGTGTTCAGTTTGTTTTAATGTCCTCAACAATATTTGAAATTAGTGCGCTTCGCACTATGGGCTTCTGGTATGGTAATATAATTATAAAATATGTTTTATAATCCTATCACATTATTAAGTATATATCGAAATTTAAGTAAATTTTAAAAGTCTAGTGCAGAAAATGTTGTGTAATTTATAACAAATTATGGTTATTGGATTAATGGTTACTACTTGGCTATGATTCAAATTGTTCAAATTATTCAATCCACATTTCTAAAGAATAAATTTTATGTATGTATATGCAAACAATATTTGCAAAATAAAAGATTCTTCGAACACTATCGCTAAGTATAAAACACGCCTCTTCATTCAAATATACAGCATTTGTTGTAACATTAAGCTAATTTTTATCGCATTTTTTTAAAAAGCATTAAATTTAAAAAATTGGTTTTTTTTGTTCAATAAAACCAGAAATTTTAAAATTTCTGGGACATTGAGAAAAAAAAATTTTAATTTAATGCAATGAAATTTCCAAACGATGTATATGCAGTTCTTTGAATATTTTCCGCAGATTTAATATTACATTATAAAACGATAAGTTACTTATTTTTAAATATAGCGTAGATAATTTTGAAGATATTTGAAAAATGATAAAAAAGTTGCATATTTTTTCCATTAAAAAAAGATTGACAGAACTTTCGATATTTTTTATTTTTTGCATCCGAATTTTATTCAACATTAATTTTCAATTAAAATGATTAGACATTTTCTATTACATGAATAAAACCCCAATAGTCGATCTAAATGCATTCTTAATACAAAGTTTTCCACTGAAACTTTGAAAAATATTTTGCAAACTCAATTCAGAATGTTGGCAAAACAACAATTACTATCCACAAATAAATTCTTTAATAATAAATCAATTATCATATTACTTTAATTGAGAGCAGTCCTGGTTTATAATATTCTATATACTTGTGTTACAAGTACTCATGTGTGTATGAGGAATGATAACAATCACTGAAAGCACTAATTGTCTCACACGATTTCAACAAATTTCAAATTAATTATAATATTACAAACACTATTAAGTAATAATAAATAATTAAAATTTCTGAAATGCATGAGAGTCCAGAGGTACTTCATATAAGTGCTTCAATTAATAGCGGAACAACAAAAAACACATATTTACATTAACTCCCTCATCTTGTTTAGATATTTAAATCTTAAATGTTTAATTTACATAAAACCCGTATCTTTTAACTACGTAAACCATGCATACAATGATTAAAGTAAACCATTAATTTATTTCTGGTTAAAAAATAATGTTCGTATATAATTATAAATGCAAACATATATAAAACTCTATTCTTACCTTTACTTGTTGATAACGGAAGGTAAACCATGCTGCTGGCGGTAAAAATCCGATAACAGCACATGCTAATACAAGTATACTAGTCCTCATAGGCCAATTAAGTGCAGCAACACAAGGTGAAGCATCCTCACAATAATCGCATCCTTCAGCACATGGTAAACACTCATATGTAAATGGTTTACTATAAGTAGAGTTATCACCCTTTTGATTTATTCAACAACATCAACATCATCATGAACCATCGCAGACATCAACATCATTATTATAATATTGTTTTTGTTATTTTTATATTGCCGTTGTTATTGTGTCATCATCACACATTTTCATCGCAATACACGTGTATTTTGTTTAAAAGTTGCATCGTTTAAAGTGTAAATAAAAAGTAAAGGAAAAAAAGAAAAAACCCAATTTAATTTTTTTATAACAATTGGACAAGGACCTTGTTATTTTATGTTTATTTTTGCGTTTTTTTTATTTATGTATACATATGTATAAGAGTCCTGTTGTATATTATCTGAACTAACATTAGTGTTATTTTTAAATGCGGCATACAGAAATAAAAGGAATAAAGAATGCAAGCAAGGAAATCCTTAATTACTGAAAAGAAAATTTTCTGTTTATACTTTTGTTTATTTTTTTTGTTTTTCCCTTTAGAGAACTTAAATTGCATATTTACAGGTAAGCAATAACAATAAAAGTAAATTTTCATCAAAGAATGCACATAGAGACGTTAAATTAAAGAATAAAGGATTTTTTGTACAATATAAAACGACAATTTAAGAACTTTTACAGCGTTAATCGAGCATAGCAATGTTAATTTTTCTACAGTATTGCTTACATGTACATGTGTTTTGCATGTATTATGTTAGATATAATTTTTCAAATGGTAATTTAACACGGAAAACGAATTTTCTTTGTCAACTCATTTTTCACCTAGGTAAATAATATTAAATTTTCATTTGGAAATAAATTAGATGTTTTGTAATTGCATGCTGTTTTAAATATTCAATTAAAGAACTGTTGTCTGTGTAAAGCAAATTTTTCTGTTTTAATTTTAATTATAAAAAAATTTGGAATTGTATTGGTAAAGTTTTAACTTGGGTCGATGCTCAGAAAGTAAAAGACAGCTTTAAATATTTAAATATGTAATTACATTCATTTTTACAAATGCATAATAAGTGGTATGCTAATTTTTGCAATAAAAGGTTTGCAACTAAAAATAAAACTGTGTAAGTATTTAATGTAAGTAATTAAAATGGGTTTATTCTAAATTCATTACATTGTAAGAAATTCAGAATAAATACAAAAAAGTAGTAGAGGAATAGTTTATAGAATTTATATACTGCTATTGTATGTGTCGTATGATGTTATTGTACTTATATAATGGAAATGAAATATAATAAACGAGCCAAACTCAGTTTTTTCTGTCTGAATTATTTTTCAATATTCACTTTTTAAAGAGGACAACAAAATACAAAATGCACTTTGGATTTTAAAATAGTTATTCTTCAAATTGACGTTACTAAACATTTTCAGTGACATTATCTGTTGCATAATATTATTGAATATAAACAACCTGTTGGTTCATCAATTCGCCTTTATTAATGCAGGGTTTTTCAAAATATAGATTATCTCTAAATGTCGTACTAAAAACTTTTAATGTCGTATAACATTCAAAATTATTAAATATAGATTTTTGCTTTAAGCAAAAAAAAGGACAAAAAGCAGCGAAAAATTCAATGCAAGATTTTGTGTATATTTCGAGAAAAATTGGCATAATCAACAAAATGATACTACCTTTTAAAACAATACTGACTTGTTTTGAAATTTTCAGTAGCTTTCAAAATATTGGTTAATCCCTATAAAAAACAAAAAAATATAAATACACTTAAGGCAAGGACCAGTATGTATTTTACATATTTTGTATGCAAAGCGAAAAGGAGTATGATTAAGATCAGCTATTTAATCAAATTTTGCAGCACAACTTCCCTTGGGATACAACAAAAATCAAGGAGAACGAGTTATGAATGACTTAGAATATGTATATCCATTTTATGAAACAAGACAATTACTCGTGATAAGGAGTATAATCGAAAAGTAATCAAAAATGTGCATCAATGCAGCATCAATTTAAAAAAAACTTGCTGATATTATACCGATGTGATGCGTTTACCTTGCTGATGCAATATTATTTTGACTTTTTAAACACTTTCTAAATCATATGTTTTTTGGCGTTTATTTTAAAAAAGTTTTGTGTAAAAGTATTAAAATTATTAACAACTGAAAATCTATTTAAAAAAATTTTTTAATATTAATTAAGTTTTGGATTTTTCAATTTAATGGAACTTTTAAAAATATTAATACCGTGCATAAAGAAATAATTAACTTTATTAGTTATTAACTCAATAATAACTCAATAACTCAATAAGAGTTAAAATAATAAATTATTTGCTTCTTAGCTTCCATTAAAAAATTTCCCATCAATTTAAATTGATGCACAGTTGATTTAATATGATGCGCACACGATGCGTATTTTTGACATTTTTGGACACCAAACTTTAAAGCATTACCGTACTGATGCATTTTCGCACATGATTTTTACATGATTACCCATCAATGCTGTGTCGATTACTTTACGACTATACCCAAGGTTTTCACCAAATAAATGATTTTTGTTTACAATAATAAGTTTGCACCACTTGAACTTAAGGTCAGCTTGATGAAAATAATTTTGATGAATTTCATAAAAACTTGGTATAATTGCTGATTATGCCCATATACAAAGCAGAGGAGCATTGGTTAATAGCAAATTAAAATCCAAATACCAAATATATGAAGGAATAGATTAAACCTTTTACGCAGGATCGATATGGTATAATTCAACTAAAAGGTATGTGCTTTTTATGCTCAAAACCTGCGTCGTAACAGAAGCAATAATTGGTAAGTTTCAATTAAAATTGCTAATTACTTTTGCCGCACAAAATAAATAATTTCATAATCAGTTCATTATTATTACATTCATCATAGGTACAAAACATATTCATTTTATTTCAGTTTTCTCTGTTTTACGATCAGGTATCATTCCATATTCGTATATTTCCTCAAAGTAATTTCATGTTTACCCTAGCATGTTGGATGTACGAAATTAGTGAACCGATTTGGGTGTCGTTTTAACACAAAGATTAAATTATGATATTCCTTCAAGTTTTTAACGTTTTATATACTTGTATTGGATTTGTTTTATAACAAAATAAAATTTTCAGACTCTTTTTTGCAACAATATAAAATTCGTTAATATTTAATTTCGAAAAAACTTTATTTTGTAAAAATAATCGTTAAAATATGTGATGTACCTATACATAATGTACTCATATAACATGCACGAATGGTAACACATTCGCACATTACTTACATAATTTTATAAGAATTTTATTGTTTAATTTAATTGTTAAGCAAATTATAAAATTTTGATTGGAATTTTTTTGTTATGTTCATAAAAAAACGGCAACATATTAATATTTATTAGAAACATTTTTTTTATTTAATTTGTTTATTTAATTTTTTCTTAATCCCCTTAAAAAGTTATAATTTTTTTCAAACACTGTTTTTATTATCAAAATGCTGAATAAATAAATGAATTAAATTGTTTCCAAATTTGCAAATTTAATCCAAAACAAAACAGAACTTTGTTTTCTTCTTTTTTTGCTAAAATAATACTTTACAATTTTTCGTCTAATTACTCGTAATAGAAGCCAATCATCGGGTTTATTAGTAGATATATAGTTTTAAACAATCTTCTATTGTAATAAAACAATTAAGCAATGGTAATTTTAAAAACTAAATCCAACATCTTAACAGATTATTAGAGATTTTTTAAATAGAATAAGTAAAATGTCTGATTTAACTAAATTTGTAAATATGACATTTTTAAGACGCAAAAACTTATAATTTCCTCAAAGGAAGTAAAGGAGAAATATTTATTGCTTATTTTTTACCAATACAGCTTTCAAGTTTTAGCTGTCTTTCTTATATAGAATATAGAAGAAATAGGAGGAAACGAATGAGCAATTTGTTTCAAAATTATTTAGAAATATAGATTCGACAATTAACGGAAAAAAATTTTTTTTAAAGAAATTTTATACCGAAGTTTTAAACATTTTTAAAATTTCTAAAATACAAATTATGAGAAAGTTGTCTTACTTCTGATTTTAACTGTAACACAGTTGAATTCTAACACATTGAAATTTTGCTTGAATGCCTTAATATTTGTCTTCTTTTAGAAATCTTATAAAAATGCTTTCGAAAATTTAAGCGTTAAGAAGACCATAAATGAAAAATATCGGTCAAATTAACGAGATAAAATTTTTCCAGCATTATAAATTTTGAGTTTGAACTTAATAATATCCACATAATTGCATATTTGCTTTTTTTTGAACATCATAAAAAAAATTTGTTTATTTTATAGATAAAAAATTAAAAAATCTTCTATATGGAAATTTAAATTTCAATAATAATAATTATTATTATTTTTATTATTTCACCAAACATTCTCATCACCATTTTTCCATTTTTATGTTAACTGTCAAATGAATTGTATTACAGTAATGAATGATAGTAATAAAATCATTCATACGAGTACATGTTTCAGAATCGAGCACACACATAACATTCAATTATTATTATTATAGTATTACAAATACTGTAACACAAAATGTATGAATACAATGAAATAAAAAATTATTGTTATTTATGAATATGTATGATATACATACAAATATATGATTATATTCACCCCTCATAAGAACTCAGTGTCATAATTATAATCAAAATCATATCCATATAAATTAATATTATATTTCCATTTTTATTTGGGTTTTTATTATTCGTTGTCATAAAACAATATATACGTCAGTGTTATTATTATTATTAGTACATATGAACCGCTACCATGCCTTAATATACAACTCTTAAAATACATATTATACAATATAAATTTACATATGTATATACTTAATATGTTCAAGATCCATCACTATATTTACTTTATGGCAATAATAGAATATAAATATTTTACTTAGTTACATACCAGCATTAATTTTTCATATTCTTCTTCCAGAACACTTCCATTAAAATATTTTTGCGAAGCAGTTGTATCCGGATAATAAAATCCTTTACGACATACACATTTATATGAGCCACGACGAAATCCCAATCCAGGAATTGGTAAGCACTATTCAAAATACGGTAAATAAAAAAATATATATGCATATAAAAAGAAAAATTTAAAAGAAAATTAGTTATACAGAGTGTTTTTTTCATAAATTTGTTGTCATAATTTCTCGAAATTTTTGATGAAAAAGCAACAAAATAATTTGCAAAATTGAAAGTTCGACATTTTCTAATAAAATTGCATAACTTTTATCCCTATTGTTTGCATATAGCGATGGTAAATATATTAAAAATTTATTTTCAAGTGAAATAATATTACTGATCAATTTACAATTGGATTTTTCAATTGATATGATATTATTGTTCAACTGAAAACATCCTCACAGCATCCATAATAGAAAATTTTAAGATCTATAATGAATTTTCTGAATCCGACGAATCACTAAGGTAGAATAATTCTATTGAAAAAAAGCTAGTTTATGCTTGAACTCAATCATTTAACCTAAGAAAATCCTAACTTATTTAATTTTACACGAAAACTATTTTTTATTTTAATAAATTTTATGGTATAATTTCCCATAAAATGCATTATTTCAATCAATATGCAATAGCTACATTAATTTTACTAAAACAAGCGCATTGAAAGAGGTGAAGAATCATTACTTGCTGTTATTTCCAGTGTAACGGATAGAACGCAATAAAGAGTTACTGAGAATTTCATATGGAGAACAAGCCATCTTATTTTTATACCATAAAACACTAAATCCAGGTTCATAAATATTATAAAACCCTAAATGATAGCATTTTTCTAATTCGAATTCGGCCGATTTTAAAGAAACAGATATTTTTTTCTCGCATTCTCCCAATAACAGCATGAGTGTATACATATACATACATAATATAGAGTATATTTTTTAATGTTCTAATGATTTGTTTACGAATATATTAGTTATGGCTGGGGAAATTACTAAACAAGCTGTATTTATATAAGTTAATTTAATTTAATATACATAAATACGTATATTTAGATTCATAATGGATTATCGAATGAATAAATAAACTTCCAAATCAGTCAAGCTCGAAACGTATATGTATATGCAAAAAACTATTTTCATATTATGTATAAAATGTTATTGCTTTACACGTACATAGTTTTGCATGCGTATACTGTGGAGATTTTTTTATTGTTACAAAGGAATTTTTATACTTACATTATGTTATATGCAAATCTATAGATTTTAATACAAAAAGATAGCGTTTTGTAGCTAATTCCTTTGCCAGTACTTAAAATTTGTCAGATTTCATTACAAAAATTTTGTAGTATTTAGCACTTTTCCAAAAAATTTTTGAAAAAAGTGCTTATTAGTTTCACTCTGTCCGTCCGTTCGTCCGTCCGTCCTTGTTTTCGTTACAAAACTTCTACACCCTTGAAGATAGCTGAAATTTAATACGTACATAGATCTTTACTAGAAATTTATTTCTGTAGAATAAAATTATTACCTAGCTCCCCCCCTCTAGAAGTTATACCCCACCAAAACCCTAAAAATGATCTTTTTTAACTATTTGTTGCAATGAAACCATAAGCATATTTGAAATTTTGCAAACGCAGAAAGGTAGTTGCTTGCGTGCCCTGGCGCGGTATACTATAGTTAAACTTTAGAAAAACAAAATGGCCATTTTTCTTCTAGACCCCAGCCTGTAGAAGCTTAAAATTTCAGGAACTTTTAGACATTAACAAATAGTTCATTTCGTTAGAAGAAATTTTTTTTCCATCTCCACCCCCTCTCAAGTTATCGCCTCTTGAAATTTGTAAAATTTGAATTTTTGATGCCCTATATTTCCGAAACCGCAAGCTTTTTCAAATTTCTATAAATGCAAAAAGCTAACGGTAAATTCCATGACATAAAAAAATATAATTATTTTTCTTAACTCACACAATTAAACCTTATAATCGAGCATTGTGTTAACCCAACTTTATATTACTTTTTGCTTTATTTCAAAGACTGCATAAATCGTTCATCCTAAATATAGGCAATCCTAGAAATAGTTTTGTATATGAATGGAAATAATTTTATTAGTGTGATAGGTGTACATAAACTGTATTTAAAAACAGAATTTTCACTTGTTGAAGGGAAAAGTGCTACAATACAAACCATTGGTTTGACCCAACTTTATTTATATTATATTTTAGTAGTCTATATGTTATGTTTTATAAATTATTAGATTTTTTTTAACTTTGCATAATGTGTGTGTTTTTTCTATAGCTATTTATGCATGTATTGGGGTAGTATAATTTAATTTAATTCATAATCCAATCACTTTTGTTCACAATTTCAATCCTGTAACTTAAATACGTATATTATAACGGCGCAACAATAGCGTGCCACATATTTATTTTGGTATTACTAAATGATTTGAAGCCGTTAAAAATAATTTATATTTTTGAACTAATAAAACTATCGTAATATTTTATGCCAGCTATTGTTATTTATAGTCATTAAATTATTTTTATTGATTAATCTGATTATTAATTTTATAGTCATTTCAATTAATAATGTCGTAATAACTAGAAAAAATCTGATGTGATCAGAACACAATGGAATACAATGCGTATTGCCTGGTTTTGTGAAAGTATTTTAGTTAACATATGTACCTAGGAAGTTGTAAATGTGGCTCTTAGTAGAGTTTCGCTTTGTGCCATACGAATTCCCTAAAAAGTTCGCCAGTTAGTTTCGGTAACAAACAGAACTCAAATATTAAATTTCAAGGAATTCCATCAATTAGTTCGATAGATATGGTAGAAAATGTGGCATTGGCCCCTAGTTTGGTTTCCAAGCCCTGATACACTCACATATAACTCACATATAAAAAATTGAAATAAACTCAAATATAAAATTTGATTAAAAACGCCGAACTTGAGATATACGTGCGCACACACGGACCGACAAACTCTTTGAAAATATTTTTTTTACGCTTTCCTAACATGGAAAAGTGCGTTTTTACCAAAATCTCGATATGCAAAATTTTGTGTTATCAAATAACCTCTCTAATTGTATGCATAAGGTCGGTAATAATATTTTTAAGAACTTAAAGCAGAAATGACGCAATATAATTCAAATGTATTTTTTTTCCAAAACCTGAGGAAGTAGATTTAATAACATAGCTGTGGGTATTATCGATTTGGTTAATTTTCCTTATAATTATATAAATGTTTTCGAACCTAGATACGATATGCATTTGAGCAATATTTTAGAAATCTAGAGCCCAATAATTGTTAAAATTCTAAAGATCTTGTTAAAAAATAATAGCAGTACCTTTTGCTACTCTAAAAATGTTACACATTCTGATTTCTCTTACTCTTACATATGCAATTTGTTTTCTATGGATCATTTTTTAATACATAATTATTTTATGATAATACTCGTATATTTAATAGGAGGTATGATTTCCTCTAACTTTTCTACTCCTAATTTATTTAGGATTCCTATTTTTTGAACATATTTAAAAGAAAAAATATTTTCAAGTCCAAAAAAAGATTTAGTACAATACTTTGTTGCATTCATTTCGGAATAATATCAATAGTATTAATTTTGTTGAAAAAGTTGAAGTGCATTAACGACTAATCGAGAAATATTCAGCCTCATCATGAATTTCGATCGTAGTTCTGAGATTCAGAATATTACAAATGTGATATAATCAATTCCAAATTATTAAAATTCTGCTCCGAATATTCGTAAAGGAGTAATCATATATTAAGTTTGTAATAAAAACAGCCCTCAAAAGTCTGCCAAAGAAATTATCATGCGTAACAAATAATATAACCCCTTGACTTTCGATTAAATCTCGAAGAATAGTGCAGACATTTAAATTTAGCGCAATTATATGAGTGAAATTGTCATAAAATAAAACATAGCTATTTTTGTTTTTATTTAACCTATTTATATAAAACTACAAACTATTTCTTTTGTAATACAGGTTTATTAAGTAATAATAGTATTAAATAGTATTGAAAAATAAAGATTGAAATATAAATTGAAAGACTTTAAGTAATAATGAAATTAAGATGAAAGAAAGAAAATTCTTGATATAAAACCTAATAAAATATTTAATTTCATTAATATATAATAATAAAATATTGCTTCTCTTTTATAGAAATTAACTGCAACTAACAAGCTAACTGCGTCCTGGAAAATCACCCCAATTGCTAGCCTGTAATCGAAGTGTAGTATCGCCAGGCTGTCCTCGTGTATTGTAATCTGGTAATATTGCTTTTGATAATAAATGGTCTGCAATATCAAGGCTAAAAGTCGTAAATCGTTGCCTTATAACATAAAATTTATTTAGAATATAAAAAAGACCATGTGCAGCAATAATAATATTTTTATTTTTACAAATTTAATGAAATTCATATAATTTTAAACATAAAAATGTACTGCGGACGACGCCCGTGAATTTCGAATTTAGTTCAGAAACTCTGACTTGAAGAGAACGGTCATATTAAATTTTAAAGTTTTGAATACTTTTAGGAAATATCAATGGAAGCTTCGTCGGAAAATTTCCTAAAAAGTCATCGAACTTTCCACGAAATTTTTGAAATTTTCTTGAAATTTAATATTTCAACTTTGGTTATTAAAACTATTGACTAGTCATTGACATGGCTCAAAACAGAATTTTCGTCGAGAACAGGTTTCCTGTTTTTACCATATTTAAGGAACTAAATGACAGATTTTGTAAAAATTTATGCATATTTTCCTTGAATTTAAATGTTTTATGCATTACTTGCAAATATGAAAGCAAGTTCTTATAAATAAATATAAGAGAAAATTCTGACATAAGAAACCATTGTAACGAAAATATTAAATATTCACATATCATCTTTCAAATTCACAATGTCATGTAGATTCTTTTAATATAACGACGATAAAGCGATAACTTCTGACGAGACACTCTGATATTTTAAACGACTTTTTCTTCGATACAAAAAATATGAATTTAATATGGTTTCTAAAAAAACCATTGGCATGAAATATGTTGGCATAATTGAATTTTCCTCAAACAAGCCAAATATTAGCTCTTGATTATTATTTCTCTACATATTACATACATTTGTAGTTTTTTCTTGGCAAAATGTTTGGATTGCAGTGTAAAAACCTACACAATTCAAACATTGTGTGATTTTTATGTTGTATCCGAAACTGGTTTAATTTAAATTAAGCATTTCCTCTCCTCAATAAGAGTACCTCCCTCCCTCAACAAGAAAAACAATTATTTTTTAACTGAAATATATTTTGCTGTTGAATTTGACCAATTTTAAAATCGATTTTGTAGAATCTTATTGCATATTAAACGAGTACTTTCATTTTTCCTTCTTTAATCACAACTTGGATGGTGTACAATAAATTTCAAATTTGTTTTTCAATTTTTATAATATCTACTTTTATAGCAAAATTTTTTTGAAAATTGTTATAATATCTACTTCGTATATGAATTTATAATTTACATATAACTTCATACTAAGTAAAAACTAAACAATTCTCCACAAAATTCATATGTCGCGTGAGGGCGTTGATTAAGTGTTTTCGATGATATTTCTGGGTCGATTTAACATTTTTTACCATGTCTACCGAACTAATGATGGAATTTTTTGAAATTTAAAATTTGGGTACTGCTTGTTACCGAAACTAACTGGTAAGCTTTTCAGGGAACTCGTATGGGACAAAACCAAACTCTATACTAAGAACCAAATTTACATTTTTCTAGGTACGTTAACTAAAAGCTTAACCCTCTTAAAATTAAGAAGAAGTGTTTAAAAAGTGTTTTTAAAATTTTGAGCAATATTTTTCATGACTAGACAATAAACATCAGATTTTTTAAATTGATATGAAAACAATTCCTTTTTTATTACTCGTATGTATTTTACGGTATTGAATGAATATTTCATTTCATTCTGTTCCGACGAGTAACACTTTCTTTAAGTTAATCAATAAAAATTGAAGTTGAAAAATATTCGTTAGGTTATTAAGAATTGCAATACTTTGATTTTAAATATTCTGTTTACTTTACATGGTTGTGAAAGTTTTAAGCGAGAAGGTACCATCATTCAGATGTGTTCTTATTTTCTTCTTGTTTATCTTTAACAACTCTATTTAAATTTTGAAAAGTTAAAAAATTTTTTTTTCTCATTCAATATTCTTTAATATTTTTTCTGAAGCAATCAAAAAAATTGCTTTTCATCTTATTCACATTTTGCATTTTTTCATCCCTTAAAAACTTAATCATCATAAAATTTTACATATCAACTGAATTCTCAATGGGGTCTTTTTGAAATTTTAATAATTTAACACATTAAAAAAGTAGAAGCAATTTCGTTTTTCCATTTTAAGGTTCGTTTTATACTTTTTACCGTATAAAATAAATTGTATATTTTTAAAATTAAATTCTTAACAGTTTAAATTTTACAGAATACTTCCTATATACCATGTTACTTTGACTTAACGTAATGGTATTAAAATTAAATATTTTATGGAGCTGTGATTTATTCTTTAAAGGTTACGATTTAATGCTTCTATGATATTATATAAGACGTACAAATAGAGCACACACATCATATATCAAACTTGTCATTGATGAATACACGCATGCAAATGGCACATTTGTGTTATTTATATATATATACATATGTATGTATATTACTAAATATTGTAAAAATGAAACGTATATTTATATATAAATTTGTAAGTGAATTCAAAAGGATAATTTACCGAACTTAAATTAAATCACGTTTATTGCTTACCATTGTTGTACGTTGTTTACACTTGTCTGTTCCTGCGAAAATATTTAATGGTGTTGTCGTTCCAGGCACGTATCTCTGTGGGCATTGATCAATATCTACACGTCTCAAGTCAATATCAATTCCAGATGTTCCCCTGTAAAAAGAAATAAAATTGAAATCGAATTTAATATAGAAATAAAATATAATAGTCATTCTTTCTTTCTCAAAGCGAATATCGATTAAAATTATAATACTTGTCTATCATTATTAAACAAAAACGAAAAGCAATAGAAGCACAAAAGGTTATATGATTTGCAAATGACTAAAGAATTCTAGAATTGAAAAAATTGTTTTCTTATTAAAGTACAGAAATTCACACATTTCTTTTTATCTCTTTATTTATCCTTTTATCTATAATGTAAATTGTTTCAAAATAAAATAAAATTTTATTTACAGATTATTGAAAATAAATTCATTGAAGGCATTTATTTTTTATTTTTGTTTTGTTAAGAAGCTAAACTTTTTCCTTTAACGACACTAAACAGTTATGAGGTCATTTAAAAGGAAAATTATATGTATATACAATGGAATGAATTTTTCACAAATCTTTATTTGATTTTCTAACTTAATTTAATAATACATGGTAGTAAAATTGTGGATAAACTGGACACAATAGATTTTGAATTAAATAAACGTAAATTTAATGTATTCAGTCTATAATCTTCCAATTAATTTTATGTTTACTAATTTTATTACAAATACACAACTGATCATAATAAGTAACCAATTTTTCAATTTCAGAAAAACAAGAATAGTACACATTCTTTCTCGTTTTTTGCACATAGCATAACAAATTCGTACGGGTATCACAGAGTTGGCAAGGTCAACTCTATTTTTTCTCTTTTTTTTTTAAATCACATTAAAACTATTTAAAAGCAGCTAAAGTCAATAGTGTGAAAAAAGATTTTATGTAATTTACAAAAATCAACTACAAAACTTACAAATTGCTGATGTAAATAATGAAATTTAAAGCTCTTTGTTCCAAAAATTGCCTTTCGTAAGTTTCCAATACTTTTATTCAATGCCTTACTTTTATTAGGCACACTATGTGCATTTGAAAAAGGGCATTTGTAAAAAAAATTATAATTACATCTACCCTAGTGAAAATTTATTATTTAATAAAAATTTCATACTATTTCTAACAAATACCATGCTGCGAACATTTTCAAATCAAAAGTGCATAGTAGTCATGTATGTTCGTATATGTTGGCCGACAAAACTTTAACGTGAATTTTCGATAACAGTTTATATACTAAACATGCGCAAGTTTTTATTTGTTGGATGTTTTTACTTCATATTCAAAACTATAATTTGTTGTGTTTTACTTCCTTTTACTACTTTCCCATAAATATTCACTAAAAACACAAAAGTATTAAAACTTTTTGTAAACAACCACGCCTGTGATCACAAATAAATTGACTGTTACACGATCAAATTGCGATATGTATTATTAGATGTAGCATTAATAGTAAAATATTAATGCAACACTTAATACAAATTTCATCTGAAAGCTTACACAGTAAAATATATATAAACTTTTTGTTGAAATGAACGATATTCTAAATCCTATATTGTTTTTGTTATTAATATTCGCCATTTTGGACAAGTTTAATGTAAAAATTTCATCCACATTTTTCTGCTAGTGTTATAAAACTGAATTTAAGCACAAAATTGATTTTATAATCTCAAAAGATTATTGAAATCAAAACTGACCTACAGGGCTATATCAATGAGAGGCAGGCAACACATGATTTTCTCTGGGTCATTAATTTTTGCAAATGTGAGAGAAACTCGGCTTTTAAATTGAATATTTGCATAAAAGAAAGACGTTATTTTAAACGGTTGTTGTACATTTTTCCAAGTCATTGTAGAAACAAATTTAGTACAAAATAACATTTGCAGTACTCTATTTTTCTTAATAACTCCGAACCGTTAGGAAGATCAACACACCAAATTAAAGGCCAGTAGATAAGGACACGAGCTGTGCTAAAATTGGAGGAAACTTCAATGTTACGTTAGCTAGAAAATTACCGTTGTTAAAAACGAGAAGTTAAAATTTCAACATTTTCGTACTTTAAAGTCGTGTGATTCTGAAATATGAACAGATTGTAACTAATGTAGATATTCATAAGAAAGCCCTTATGAATGTGAGGCTTCCAAATTATATTTAATTATGCGCCTGTGTTTTACAGGTACGGAGTTATTTTTGAAATTTCGAAAAGTAAAAAAATCAGTCGAAATTTACTTTAAGCCCCGTAACTGTTAAGCTGCGAACACCGTATGCATACAAAAGTTTTGTCTACTTATGAAAACCTATACAATGGTATATATAGCACTGCAGTTCTATAAGATACACTGCAGTTCTATAAGATGATGTATATATAAACAAGTAAATCTCTACATATTTTATGTCTACAAAAGTATGTACATATATAAATTATGTATGTAACAAAAATGCCAAATTGGCATTTTAAAGGTTTATTTAGAAATTTAATTAAAATATGAATTATTAATCTGAAAAGTAAATAATAAAATATAAATTATCTAATTTGAAAATTTATTTTATTAAAAAATTAAGTTTATGAATTTTTAATGAAATTTGATTCGAAAATGAAAATTACATTTGGTCCGACACAATATGTTTATGCTTCATCAATTTATGAATACAGTATAAATGGCAACACAATAACATTTTGAAATCTTTGTGAAATTTTATATTAAATTATACTAATCTATGGATTATTGTGTACTAATACAAATAATCTGGCAATATAAATTTATTTGAAAGATCAATTATTTAAAGTTCGCATGGAACACATCAATGCGTTTTATATGTAAAAAAAAAATACAAACAACAAATTACAAAAGGCCCGCGGGTTATGATAGTGCAGAACATAAATAATATTTTTTTGGCAATTATTGCTACTACAGATTTACATTATTTATTGCTATATTCATTGATGACTCAAAAACCCATCAAAAGTGCCTGGAAATTTTATATAAAAATATTTAAAGCAATTTCTTTGAAGCGTAGCTTCTTAAAATTCACGACTAAAACAGTTAATCGAATGATAGGCATTTAACTTTAAAATATTCAGAATATATTGAAAATGATTAGGAATACATGATAAATTTTGAAAATGTATGTATAGTAACAGCAGTGTAAAAAGGCCAATAAAAAACCTGGCCAAAAACTCATACGATCTAATATACAATTTTTTCAATTACCTTCTGGAGTATTCGAATATATGCATTATATAAATTTTATTCAAACTACACTTTGAACACTGAAATGGAAAATAATTTAAAAAAAAAAATACCTTAAATTTTAAAAATACAAAAAAAAAATTTTATAGATAAAAAAAATTAAATAAACTTTTTTATTTCTGTTCTACCAAAATAAATTTGTTTCTAACACGCGTTTCAAAATCTTAGCAACAATCTGTGACAGAAAAAATCAATAAAAAACTTTGGAAAATCTAGTGCAACATACATATTGTTCCCTTAACCTCCACATAATGTTTTTATAAATATTTATATTTGTAAAAGCATGCTAAAATTGTAGCATTCAATATGTGCAGATGGCATCTAAAAGTTGAAAACCATATTAAATTTCAAATAACACTTTATATAAGTTTTCTTTACATATTATTGGACATCATATTGCATATACTCTTATAATGTCCTTGCCACAAATTTGTTTCATTTCAAAATTATGCAGATGCTCCTGAAAATTTCTACATAGATTTCTACATGTAATAAGCATATAAATTTAAAATACATCATGTTTATTGTATTTCCAGAAAAAAAACAAGATATCTTAGTCTATTTTAGCCATATGACGGATTGCGTAGAATACGGGCCACTAGTAACAACCGAAACTGTTTTTTTCTGGATATAGGTATTGTTTAAAAAATTACTAACTTTCTCAGAATTTGTAAAAATATATTTTTCTGTTTTAATTTTATTTAATATGGTGCAACACTTCCACTAAAGTAGCCTTCTTTTAAACTTCTGCTTTTAAAATAAAAATTCCCCAGGGCCAATACACTCATGGCGGTTTATGTGCTTAGAATATCAAATGTTGTTTTCTCCTTTTTTAGCACTTTTTCAAAAAATTTTTGAAAAAAAGTGCTTATTAGTTTCACTCTGTCCGTCCGTTTGAGTTCTGGTTGTTACCGAAACTAACTGGCGAGCATTTCAGGGAATTTGGGTAGCACAAAGCGAAACTCTACTAAGAGCCAAATTTACATTTTTCTAGGTATGTTAACTATAAGCTTACTAATGTCCTAAAAATTGGAAAAAAGTATTTACAGACATTTTTATAATATTCTGTAACACTTTCACTTAACTAGACAATACACAATGCGGTCGGTTATGTGCTGACCACATCAGATTTTTTTTCTTAACTCACACAATTAACCCTTAAAGTTGAGCATTATGTTAACCCCTCTTTAAATTAATTTTTACTTTATTCAAAGACTGCATAAAGTTCATCCTAAATGTATGCAATCCTTAGTGAAATAGTTTCGTATATGAATGAAATAATTTTAATAGTGTGGTAGGTATACATAGACTGTATTTAGAAGCAGTATTTTCAATTGTTGAAGGGAAAAGTGCTACAATACAAACCATTGATTTGACCCAACTTTATAAATCCCTGAAAGCCTAATATTTGAACTTAATATGCTGACTATTGTTAAATATAATCAAAAATGAAAACTCAACTCGTAAAAAGCCCAATTACCGAGACCTATTATATCCAAAAAGTTGATTAACTAGCAAAAAAAACTCAAACATAGCCAACGTGAACTCATACATAAAATATCGGTTCAGCCGAACTTGAGAAACACGCCTCCACGCAAAGACAGACCGACCAACATCACTTTAAAAATAATTTATTTACGCTTCCCTATTAAGGAGAAATGCGTATAATGCCGTCAGTAAATAAATTATTATTTGCCATTTCCAGGAAGTAATTCATCGATCCTGTTATTTGTATTTAAGATACTCCTATTAAAAAAAATCTAATTTATAAATGAAGGCATAAAAACCAAATGAAATGTAAAATAAAGAAAAAACCTCTTATATTTG